CAGTGGGAATCTCTCCAGAAGCAACTTGTGTCCATTACCCTTCATCTGTTCCATGTGACTCCTTGTGAAAAGAGAGTCTCCATCTTGGTAGCCACCCTTAATGTACTAGCCACCCTGTACTTATCTTGAATACTGAGTCAAGAGTTTACCAACTAATGGAAATTTACTCTTACAGTCACATGTCTATTCTCCAAGGTGTCCCCAAACCTTCAACCAGCTAATACCTTAGAGACTGCAGTGGAGCGCAGTGTTCCTCACCTGGAAATAGGTGTCTTTAAAGAATCACCATAGTAGCTCCTTTCACCTTGATTAGGTGGCTAAACATAAATGGGACAGTACCTCTCTCTGCAGACTGTAAGCAGCAAATAATTCTCCTGCTGATTGTACAGATTACCAAAATACTAGAAAAGGGCTGTACCATGAGTCTGAAGCACAGGAACAAGCAGGATAGCTCCTCTACCTGTTTTTTAATAAGTGCTGAGCCATGTGGCTATGGACCATGTGACCATTAAGCACCCTGGAAAATCAGATTTTAAGTATTTTGGAATAGATTCATGAAAACAGAGGCAGATAAATTATCATTTATCAATGTATGTGTCTTATTTGTAGAGAATAAAGAAGTTCAAAAATGACATGATAATAAAATCACTTTGGGAAACAATATTTCACCTACTGATGAAAAATTGTGATGATCATTTCTTTGCTGCTTGCTAAGCTTTAGCACTATTTAGAAGTCTATCACTCTAAATAATGTAAACACTGGTTATATGGGACTGAACCTGAACCTTGTTTTCCTCTTTTTAGGTTTTTTTTTTCAGATTATATTTCTGTTTCAGCTATTGCTGAGAAAACTGAGCAGTATTTCCTGTGAACTCTTCCATAATTAAGTACCTGCAAGTTAAACTTCTTGAATGGCAAGCAACTCCTTTGCATCAGGACTAAATTAATTCCTTCCTCTTGATCTCTCAAGTTTTTTTCCTATAATTTTAGGACCTGAAACATTTATGAATTTTACAACATTTTCTTGTTGGACTGTGTAAAGATAGTGTCAAATTAACCATACCAGGGAGTGAAATCTTCCTTTTTACCCAAAGCACAAGCCTACAGTGGTAAACACTGTCACCTCACTCAGAGATCCAAACGCTCACTTCTTTCTGTGCCGTTTCCACCCCAGCCCAGCCTCACAAGTCTGTGATCCACTAAAGCCACAACACAAATATGAACTGGAAATCCCAGTACACTGGGCAGAACCTGTCAGTGGAGGGTACAGGGTGTGACAGAGCTCTGCAAACACAGTGCATAAGGCATTGTGGACTTATGGAGCTTTTCAAGTGGAAGCTCAAGACAACAAAGCCAATGTTTCCTCCTCCTTGAGCTTGCAGCTTAAGCAGTGGGAAGTTAGAAATCTATCCTTCATTATGCTACAGCATCTACCTAAGCATGCTTTTCAGAGAATAAAAGCCAGTTGAGAAGAGAGACCAAGAGTTTAAAGAGCACAACTTCTCTTGTATTAGCTATTAATAAATGGGCATAATGGTCCTGCTCACACAAACTGAACAAAAGCAACACACAAACCTTCAATTCTTATTTTTTTCCTGGGTATCAGAACTCTAAGCTCTGGACTGTCGGAGCTATGTTGCTTGCAGGGCCTGTTCTGTCCACCTGCTCTGCCTTTCTGTTTATACACAGCATATGGGCTAGTCTGAAACTCCTTTTCCACAAAACACTTATTTCTCTAGCTTAACTTGGCTTACTAGATTTTATTTTCTATACCTTCTGTATCACTGACTTGTGGAAAAATTTTGCATTTTTCTGCACAAAAAGATAGATAGGATCATAAATTTTTGTGTTGTCTAAAGATACTGTTTGTATTCCTAGCCAGATACACTATAACCTTGAGACAGGATATATTCCTTGATTTGGTCAAAGTAGTTTAGTGAGTCATTGCAGTTGCTGCTGTGGCTTTTGGCTTTGAATGGGCTAGAGAAATAGCCAGTATCTGTCAGACATGGAGCGACACGATGACATTTGTGCACACTACTACTCTTCATAAGCAACATAGCTGAAGCTGGCACCTTGAAATCTGTTAAATTTGGGCTATTTTTTATGCAACAGCCAATTTTGACAGTGTCCTTAGAGGCTGCTTAATTTAGATTTCACTACAAAGGCATATTAATATTATAAGCCTTGGTTAAAGCTGAAGATCTTGCTCACCCATGATGGGATTGGAGCTTGCAGGAAGCATTGCATATACCCTGCTTAAGGCAGCCTAGCTACTGGCAGCAGGTGAGGGACTGGTTTCTGACTCCTGCACTTCTCTCCACAGCCACAAGTTTATTGGGGAGTGCTGCAAGTGGGATATTGGTGCCTATGCACTTCTTGACTTTAGGTCCTTCACAGCTGTGGCAAGTCATTAGGTGTCTACACCAATCCCCAACTCTGGATGGGCTTTCTGTCAGTGTTGTTTATATTCTGTCAGCTATGGGATGATTCCTGAAATGTTGAGCAAAATTAGAAAAGTGAATGAGGTTTTCATGGTTTTGCTGATATGGTCATATTTGGACTAAATATATTGACTGCTACTGTATCAGCAGTATACATATAATGCCTTCTTTCCCCATTAATACAAAGGATAATCCTTCTATCCTTTTTACCTCTCCTTACTTTACTGTAAACACGTAACTCTGAAATATACCTCCAATCAAACTATTCGGTTACATTTTCTCAAACAGTAAGTTAAGTGCTGCTGCTTTTTCTTAGATGTGATGTGATGCTTGTAATTTCCTTATATTACAACACAAAATTGTGCCTCTCTGTAGGCCAACAATTCTTAAAAAGTAATTGTATCGATACTTCAGTGCATAGGATGAAATTGTTGATGGTTATGTAATGGGATTTACCTGCACTTCAAAAAAGGCTGTGGAAGTGCAAGATACTGCAAAGTCCTGACTGCATTATACTGCCAACTACATGTTCACTCATTTTTACTAGCACACTGCATTGACCCGGTATCTTTATATTACATAACTAGGTGATTATTAGTATAATGCAAACTTTCCTAATTATCCTATCATAAAAACATTATTTTACGAACAGTGGTGAAACTCAGTCAGGATAACAGCCAGCCTACTATAGCTTAATAAATAATACTGATTTTACAAAGGTTACTGTATGTCTTTTAACAAACAGGAGTACCTTAAATCTGAGCATATTTATACAGTGCTTAGCAGGATATGTAATGGCATATAATAAACACGCAAATATGTAGTAGAGACTGACCTTCATTTCAAGATTTTGTGAAGCCTGTAGTGATTAGCCAGTACAGAGATCAATAAAATGCTTCCTGAGAATATAGGCAATCTGTCTGCTATAAGCATCCTGAAAGCTACCTCAAAGGCTAGCCTGCCCTATTTTCCATAGCACAAGCATGTATTTGTAGCCACAGAAATGTTCTTTTCAGCATGTAAGGTACTTAGTACCCAAGCATGCTTAGTAAGTACATTACCAGGCATTCACATTGGCAGCCAACAGAATGTCCTCTAGGTAGCAGTATACTCAGAAGCCATACAGCATATAGATTACCTCATGCATGGAGCAATCCCAGAAACCGCTTTTCCATCACAGCATATATACATATATATACACACAGAAGGTTGGAAGTGAGCCAGACATTGTAAGAACTTCTAAGGGATTACGATGCAATAAAGTTCAGCCTCTACAGCACAGCCACCCACATGCACAGAAATCAGGCTATGCACACTTCCAGTGTGTTACTGCCTTGCGTCACGGAAAACCTACTCTAGCTCACGTTTGTTCCCACCTCTTAATGGGACAGTTGAGTATCAGCTCGTTACTTGGAACATGTTCACATATAGTATCCCTAGGGCTGTCAAGGAGGACTGAAAATACTGAAAGTGAACAATGGGAGAGACTCGATAATCATCTTCCCTACTTCTCAGGCTTGACACAAACAGGGCTGAGCCATGCAAAAGAACAGCATTTCAAGCAGAGGGTCAGCTTCTGAGCGTTTGAGATCTGGAGCATATATTTCATGTAGCTAAGTTTTTTCTTGTGCAAAATATCTACAGCACAGACTACGCAGCTGTGAACCTTCCCTACTTCACCATTCCTCTGCCTCACCCTTAACCAAGACCTGAACTTTTGTGCCACATGAAGTCTTAGCACTCTTTGCTGACATTACAAATACAAATATCAATTAGATCAGTTGTGAAATTCCATGTAGCAAGAAGACATATGAGAACTAAATCTGTAGGCCGATAGTCACAGCAAATGTAATTCAGTTTGAAAATATACAGCAAGAATTACTTTAAATGTTGCCATTTACTAAGTAGACACGTTTTAAAAGCTATATAGAATGTTATTTCACAGGATGATATTACCGTACTGCAATTCACTTTTAAGAGGTTAGCAGGCCTGTGGGAATGGTATGGTACTACAGACTCCATAGACTGTCTGAAAACCTAGTATGTGATATTACTGTCTGCCAGCCAATTGGAAGTGAAGCTATCAAGTTTCAGTCCAGCTCCACGTGTAACTGGTCCCTAAGCACCACTCCTTCAGATACTCTTGTTTACAATCTCATGAGGAAATTTGGGAGCTGCGGTGCTGGAAATCTGGTAATCTTCTCAGGACAGGGTGGGGAGATGTAAGAAGGAAGTGTACAGTAGGAGAGCTTGCATAGTTTTGTTGTAGGAACAGAGGATTTCACTCTCCAGGGCTGTCAGATCCAGCACTCTCTGTATGAATTATTTTGAAAATCAAATTCACACTATCAAGTTCACATCCCCTTTTCACCACCACACGTATTTTCAAAAGGTATTTCAATGTTTAAGTAGAAACCCACAGCTCCAAGTATCTGAAATTTTAAACTCTAGATGAATTTCCAGTTCATATAAATGTTTTGGTCTGAAGTCTCTCAGCCCCCAAATTTGGGTAACCATATGAAAGATGACAAATCTAGAAAAAAACCCAAGCCTTACCTTCTTGTAGAGACTTCTCAGGTCTCTGTACTGCCACATACTATTGAGGACCTGAGATGCTGCTTTCACCACTTTTGGCGAATGCCTGTTACACACATATATTAAAAAGGGAGAGAGAGAGAAAGAAAGAGTGAGAAAGAGACTGTTAAGTACAAGGCTCCATTCATCCCAATTTTCAAATGCATTGATATGGATTTAAACCCATAATTAAAGTTGTGTTTTGAAAGTACCATAAGGTCTTTGGTTGGCATCTTGGAGATCAATGTGTTTTTAAGCAAGGGCAACACATGTTATTTCTATAGTACTAATTATTCAGTGAGGAGTAAAATGTGTGTTCCTCAGCACACTGAGAACAAGGATTCCTGCTGAGAGCACAATAAGAGGAATGGGAAAGGCAGCAATTGGGTAAGTTGTTGAGTACCCAGCTGGTATTATGTACATCTAAGATGATGTCCTGGCCACAACTTTTGGCATAAAGGACAAGAAGTTAGAGCCAGAGTTTCCTTCTAAGTAAGCTGCCAAACTTCAACTCATGACAGCATGCTCAATACATTAAGTGCCTCTTAGCAGTGGCCAAAAGAAACACTCTAGATGGGTGATGAGTACTGTTCTTCAAGTGCAGAGCCAAGATGCAGAAATACAGTTGATTATAAAAAGTCATGACAAATTTCATTAGGAACCGCAATTTGGACTAGCATCTTGCTCACACCATTACCCTTTAATGACAGCAATGTAATGCCATGTTGAAAATCATATATAACTCCACATGAACTTTCTCTTCAGAAAGGTTTTGAAAGAAACTCTGAACTACTGTTACAATCAGTTGGAGTCATACTCCTCTTGGGATAGGTAACTTAAAAAAAGAACTATTAAAAAAATTAGAGAGTATTCAGCTCAGTGAAGAAGGGTCAAATGGAAAAAGACTAGGAAGATAACCCAGCCCACTGAGGAGGCACCCACTGTGCAGTTAAGCCTTTGTGCTATACCAATAATACACATAAAGCAGTAGAGCACTAGAAAACCTTGCAAAGGCCAAAGTCTGGAGTGAGAACTTACGGACTTTAGGGCAGTCATTGAGGTGATTAATGTTTTACTCAGAAAAGACACATGGACTGCAAATCCACAAAGAAACCAGAAAACCAGCAGCATGTGCTACTGGTTTGGGTAGGAAGTCTTGAGTAGGGTCATGCTCTGGTGCATCCCGTGGCCTCTGAGAAGGACCAGTGGTAGGCTGACACACAAGTTGGTCAAGCAATGTAGCACAATAGCACAAACTATTCAATTAACTTTTACAGTATTTTGCTAGTAATTTATTTGGTGGTTTTTTCCCTCTTTTCTACCATTTCTCACTCAGAGTACAGCAGTAGGTGGGCAACTGGTGAACAGACAGGAATTTGATAAAGCCTTTCAAGCATAAGTATTTTTTTTATAGTCCCAGTTGTATTGTCTAGTGGGTTGCTGGTAGCATGGAATAACCAGGAAAATAATTGTGCCAACTATACTGTGAATACTGGGGAGAAACAGGAACTATGTGAAGCCAATATGGGCTTGGCCAATATGACCTTAGGAACATCAGTTCTCTCGTGCTGTCACAGAGGGAAAGCCCTGGGCATGCTGCAAAGGCTAGCGGCGCCAGCCCCACACTCCTGGCACTGATACATACCAGGATGCATGGCCAGGCTACTAGTCTGCACTTGCAGAAACAGATACTTCATACTGGTCAACATAAAATCATACTGAAGTTGTTTTACTGTATCAAACTGAGCATGCCAACATTTTCTATCAGGCCAAGAAGCAGCAATTCTGATTTTTTAACAACGGATTACCTGTAAGAAACTAAACCAAAGCAATGGTGTACAATACTAAAATTTCTGAAAGTTGAAAAATGAAACTTTCCTTTAGGATAAACATTTGTAGGACTATGAAATGACAGGTTTCTTGCTCTAGGACTGTGTAACCTGTAACAGTAATAACACAGGACTGCAAATCGAAGTACTTGAGAGAGGGATACATACCATGATTTGGGAGGGCATTTTGGAATTACTCAATGCTATCTGTGCTAAATACTTTCATTCAACATAAATATATCTTTCAGAGTCATGAGGGATACTTAGACAGGGAATTATACCCTTGGATCCTCCTAAAACTGCCCGTGATATTTTGAAAATTTCAGACTCAGCAGATATTAATAATCTCTACCAGATAATGAACAGGTAGACAAATGTGTTATTCTGAGGAAAGACACATTCACCTTAAGAGAAATTAATATGAACCTGCTTGCAATATCAGTACTTTTGATCTAGAAAATATAAATCAAAATTTTAAATAGATTTAATAATAACAAAAATGCAAATGTAAGTACATTAGCAAAGCATGGGGAGCTCCCACAACTGGAATCACGTACTTTGTTACACTGCTACTTTTTACCCCTTATAATTAGAATGTGAGAATGTTTCAATAATGAATTTGGTATGAAAAGAAAAGGGTGACAATAGAGGAAAAGAAATGTGATTAAATCATATTGGCAATGCTCCGATCACACAGGTGAGCGTAAGTTCTCATACCAAATGCAGGGTGCATAAATCTTTGCTTCAGGTTGTGGCCTGGCTTTGTGGGGCTCTTTTAGAGCTCTGATGCTGCAGTAGGCTGTATGATAACAGCTTTGAGTAACTGGACTGATGGGTTTTGTACACTACAGTGAAGGCTTTTTTTTTTTCAAACTGCCATAGTCTCACTGCACTACACTTCTGCAGGTTGACAAATATGCAAACCAGGCTATCTGTTTTAGGCAAAAGAAGGATAAAGAGTGAACTCTTCATGAAGAGTGCATACACAGGAAAACAGACAAGATGAAACCATAGCTGCTCTGAAAATGTCACAGTTGTGTGTAAGATTTTTGCATGTTTTGGTGCCTCACAGCGTAGCCTGCAGATACCCTAATGCATTTTTAGAAGCAAGGTGTTGGCAAAATCCACAGACCCATGTTTCTATCATGCCCCACCTCACCAGCAAGCTGGTGGCAAAGAAAAGGGTGCTGTGAAGAGGGGCAGTGACTTTACATTCTTCATTTCCAGAGCAAGAGGAGCAGTAACACAACTGCAGTGAGGTCCCTTCCTCTCACAGGATCCCTCCACCTACACATCATTGGTTCTGCAGGGTGCAGTCCAATAGCTCTGGTCCCTAATGTTTTTAAGGATCTTCTACAAGTGCTTAGAGGTAGTGGTTACTGTAGATAATCACTCTGCCTTAAACTGCCCATGCAGTGCACTCTGTGCACTGCTGGTGGTACGTCAAAAATAAATCACAGCAGAGACTTTTGCTATTGGTATTGTCTGTTTCTTGTCACCTTTCACACTGGGCATATGATTTCTGATAAAACTAAAGTATTCAACTCACGATTGCACAGAGGGGCAAAAACATTTAGGACTAGTAATAACTACTGGAAATGTTAAAAAAAGGTGCAAGGTGATTTGCAAAACATACTTGTCTCCTTTACTCTTAGATATGCCAACCAGTTTCTCAATGCCGCCTGCGTCTCGTAAGGCCTTGGCATTCTCCATGTTTTTAGTGATGACTTCATGCAGAGTGCAGCAAATGGCAGTAACGGTGTCATCAGACATGGCCTTGCTTGCTGAGCTGTTGCTGTTGTTAGCGCCTGGCAGTCGGTGGACCAGATCCCTCATGGCATACTTGCCTTTGTTGAAAGAAAATGAAGGGAGAATTCAGAAGATACAGTAACAAAGGGTGATGGAGAAGTAGCACAGGGAAAACACGCAAGACTATTAGCACCATTTGCATTATTGCACGTAATCTAACTGGCTACTGATACTATTTTGGAGCAAGCCACATTTATACGATTTCATGTTCAAGCATTTCACACATTAGGGACTTTTAAAATTTCCATATTACACCAGTTGGAGACTTCAGATATGGGCTACATCATGCTCTTAGGAGAAGGAAATTATGACAGTATAGGCCAAGTATATGTATAAAGATAACCTGAATACCGCAACTCACACAGCTTGTCAAGTCCCCATCTCTCATCACACAAGTTATAACTCAAGTTACTCCAAATAAAATGTGCATCAGTTGTTAAAAACACTACAGTCAATGCAAAACCAATGACACTGTTATTTGTGAAAAAGTCTTCTCTGAAGGACCAGTTTCACTGAGCAAGGTCAATTCTATACTACATGCAGTAACTTAACTGAGTTTATTAGTGTTTCTATTACTTTATTGCCGATTCAGCACTCAGAGATGACACTGCACTCTTCCACACATCCTTAGCTGTATGTATGGTACTGACCACAAAGGAAGCCTTTCTGACATCTACTCCTGTCTGATATTTAGAGAATATTTTATATAACACTAACTTCCAGAATGTAAAATCTACTAAAACAAAAGGTGCAATGAAATGGTCACATTGAACTAAAGACATTAAAAAGTAATTCTGTTGAATATTATAACTTTCTTCATGTTTAAATGAACAAAGACTTGTTTTCTGCAAAATTGCACCTGAAAGTCATGCAGTGCCTGTGAAAATAACACAAGAGCAATTTATAAATATATATACGTGGTATAAATGTAAATACATGTGTAAATGTAAATATATGTAAACGTAGGGCAGGGTTAGCACCATAACTGCTCTATGAGAAGCCTCACACGGGTTCTAGAGGGTGACCATTATGGTTAGATGGCAGCTTAGTCCTTCAACGCAATGAAGACAGGATCAGAAAGGGCGAGGGCCTGGTGAGGTGTTGCTGAGGACAGTGAAACAACTCTGAATCACCTTCAGCACAGCTGTGCTAGAAATCTGCATACAGCAATCACCATGAGAGTGTATCATGCAGGAGGAAAAGGAAAGGAAAATTTGGAAAAAAAATATAATTAGTAATCTAATCTACATCACATTTTATGAATGAAATAATCAGGTATGATTATTGTAAATAATATGGTAATTTAATCAGATTTTTTTGATACCTTAAAAAGCTCTGATGAATTAGTATTTATGAGTACTTATTAAAAATCTTATTTCTGAATTCAGACATTTAGTTGTGTGTGCCCATATTTGAAAGCAGAGCTAAGAGGAAAATCACATCTTAACTATCAAATGTTACATTATTTTTATTTCTCACAATTTTGTCTGCTGTGGTAGAAATACAGCCAGTCACTTGGAACAGAATATTTGCAGTAGGGACAAAAACTAAAATCTCTGTACTGGAATGTTAAACCTAAAGGTTATTAAATAGATTTTGTGGTAATGTGAGATCTTAGAAATTACTCACTCTATATCATGTAAAACCACTCCTGATTATAAAAAGCGTAACATTATCAACTAAACGTCTACAGTAGGACTTGAATCTTACTGGTGTGCTGCAATTCAGATACAATTCTTGTCTTTTTATGTCTTTGCACTTAATGTTTAATTGGTCATTCATATTATTGGCTTTTCAGCAATATTATTATTATCAGATGTAGCACAGATGTTAACACCACCTTCTTTAGAAATGGTTTGCTTGAGCAAACAAATTTGCCCTACAAATGTATGAAACATGGTTCAATAACAGCCTGAAATGCTATTTACATCTGCATCTGTTTGTTGTATGTAACATGAACACATTAATAGTTGCTTATCACTTACAGTGATTACTTCAGTCTGTAGGATACACTAAATTAAGCTTGTGTATCACAAAAATAAAATAAACCATGACTTGCTGTAGCTTTTACTCTGCTGATGCAGTGTCTGCCACTGGTCAGGTGTAACTACAAGTAGATAAATCAGATCAGTGAGACTTTACTCTGTACACGCATCCAGAACAATGTTCCTTTTTCCTTTCGTATCTCACTTAAAACACAAAAGAGCATCTCACTGTCTCAGTCCTCTGGTGGAACCAGATAACAACAATCACTATTCACAGCCAAAGAATAGCTCTGGATATAAGGAAATCTGGATCACTGCTGCAAGCAGGTTTCCTTCCTGGAACTGGCCTAGTATTCCAGACAGTAATATTCATGCCAGTACACATGCCAAGACACACAAGATGTTTCTAATAAATAGAAGCTTTGGATCTATCAGGAAAAGCTCAATAGGAAAACTAAAAGAAACACAGTCAAAAATGGTATAAGCCATTTTCACCAGAAAAACATGGCACAGCAGCTGGAAGAAGAGGGGAATAGCTGGGCTACAGGGTTGATCTAAGCCACTGTTTACAGGGTCTTAAAATCTATTAAAAAGTGTAACTGTTAATGTATTTTCTGTGATTTTAGTATTTGAAAACTCAGCTATTTGAAAATATCTTTGGGATGAGAAAAGCCTCTGCCTTAGCCACAAAAAATGTGTCAATAATTTAATTTAATTCAAAACATACGAGCTTACATTGAAAAAGCAGTAAATTTGCTTTAATATAGAGTTAAGTCATAAAACTTAACAGTTAAGGAGTATTCTTTATGCTGTAGCAAACATTCCATAGAAACTTGCTTGCCTTCTAAATACATTTTCTAAAATTATATATAGTTAATAAATTACTGTATTATATTCACAGAAAAAAAAATCAGTTATCAGTTAACTTCTCTTATTGCAGTTTTTTCCTGCTCCTTTACAATAGGCACAAAGGAGAGAAGAGTTACGTTTTTTAGCATTAACTACAAAAGAAATTTTGCTGCAGTTGAGTGGTGTAGATGTTGAGTAATGCCAATGAAAGCACAGCTACCACTACATCAGCCCAACACAGCCGACAACACACGCGATTCTTGACTTTTGCATTAGTGCTTGTTACAATCTGGAGCACGTTTGCATTTAGAATTCTCTTTTCGATGTTAAGAACCTCCTCTGAAAGCAGACTGAAACGTATAATGGAAACTTGTCTTGTAATGTCAGCAAAGTTTTATCTAGCCCTACCAGTAGGAAGGCTGGGGAATTCAACCTGAAGCTCAAGAAACCTCCCTGAGCTGAAGATATCAGAACTGACGAGGGTCCTGGGAAGAGAGGAGGATGTGTGTCAGACTGATATTAGAAATAAATAGCATTGTTAATTTTCGTTAGGGTTCATACAGAACTGCTTTGATCTACAAATAAAACTATTTTTTTAAATTTGAGCAACATTACACATTGTAAGACCCCAAACTGATTTGATACTTTTAAAGAGGATTTATGTAATATGATTAAACATAACCTCCAGCTTGACAAGGAAAAAAGAAATAATATTTATTTATTTAATTTCACTCATAAAGGAAGGAAGACAGCATTAAACAGACACAATTTGTGGTCAGAGTCACAGGAAAGTGATTGTCCTTTATGTGTTTGGGACAGCAATTTTCTGACACTATACATTTTGAAGTTATTTTTCTAAGATAAAACTTTTAACACTGTTTTATATTGAGAGCAGGAATCGTCTATTACCGTACATTTTGACTGTAAGGTGATAATGCGTGCTCACTAAACATTTCAACAATGCAGATTTGACATCTTTTCCTTTGCGTGATAAAGTCTCATTAGCACCTTGTACATGACATTACTTAATTCAGGAAACTTTTTCTTTCATAGGATCAAACTGATAGTTGTCCTAAGAAAGATTCTGCCTTCAGAGCAAAACAGTATAGCAAACTATTCTTCTGGTAGATTTAACAGGAGCAAACTCATCACAGATAAGGTTCCACTTCTGGAAATATTCCCCTACTATTGCCTTGAGACAAATTCACTGCCGGTGTAACCCCACTGACTTCATTTCCAGTTCCACTCATCTCTGAAAAATGACTTTGACACATTGGCACATTTATTAAATAGTTGTGGCATGGTTCCTAGTTTGAGAGAACAAGACTAGAAAAAATAACCTACTGAAAACTTAAGAAACCTCACACAGATACTAATTCAAACTAGGAACCCTGTCCTAGAGGTAGAGCTCACTCTAATAAAAGTAATACATCACCATTTTTCCCCCTCAGAGATGCCCATTAATTCACATTATGTAGCTAGACAATATAAAAATAGAACAAAGTCACTGCATTTTGTTGCAATGCTACAGATATCCTATTCCAGAACTATCCATGTCTGCATATCTCAATATATGTGAATTTTGTTCTCTTGGTTCTAACACGTGCACTCTGCTTACATTTCCAGACACAAATATTTTAGTGCATTTTCATCATCTTTGTGTGTTTTTAAGACCATTCCACTTCAGCATTTCACCACCTTTTGGAAAGAACATTTCTGGGAGAGCTTTTATTCATACTTTCAATCGTTATTTAATAAATGTGCTGAAACTGTCTACTTAATTCAGGTGCAACAAACTTTGATCATGAGTCAGTGTATTCAACTGATAGTCTAATAAATCAGAGTGTATTCTTGACATGATAGCAGTGGCAGAAATGCCACTACTGTATTTGATAGAGTTCATTTGTGCACCATGCCTTCTCCTGTCATATACTGCTTTTTTAAGGTGTAGCTCATAATCACTTCTGGTACTAGGGCAGCATCTCAAAGTGTCCCTTAGGGTCTAGATGTCATTGGATGAGAGGAACCCTGTCCTTTCTCTGGACACTGGAAATCTTCAGTACATACTGAGGTGCAAGAGTAGGCTGTAAGAGCCCACCCACGCAAAAAAAGAGATTATGCTTAGTACAATATGTAGCAAACTCTGGACTTGGACTGCCTACACAGTAAAAGGTATTTTGTAGGCATCAAAGCACCACTGATTC